AGACGGTCTCGGTATCTCACACTCAGGTCGGGATACACCGTCAAACCCTTCTCAACTTTCCCACTGGAGATCTTCTCTCGGAATGACTCTACTTCAAGGTCAAGGGCTCCAGCCTCTAACACTCGGGTCACAAGTGTAGGCTGCGCAACAACAGAAAACAAGGCCGCAGCCTCAGCTGATTCACCCAGAAGCAAGTCAAACTCACCAAGTGCTCCCAACATCTCCCATTCCCGGATGGCTATACAAGCTACATCACTAATGGATTTCCTACTAAGGGCATCGGCCACAACATTCGCCTTTTCCGGGTGACAATGCAACTCAAAGTCGTAATCCTCAATAAATTCCATCCATCTCCTCTGCCTCAAGTTCAAGTCTTTCTGTGTAAATAGATATTTTAGACTCTTATGATCCGAGAACACCTCGAATGTCTCACCATAAAGGTAGTGCCTCCAAATCTTCAAGGCAAAGATCACTGCTGCTAACTCTAGCTCGTGTGTAGGGTAATTCTTCTCGTGTATTTTCAACTGACGTGAGCCATAAGCTACCACTTTCCCCTCTTGCATCAACACACAACCTAAACCCTCTTGTGAGGCATCACAATAAACCGCATAACCCGACCCTCTCTCCGGAATAATCAAAACAGGAGCGGTGGTCAATCTAACCTTCAACTCTTGGAACGACTTTTCACAAGTCTCACTCCATACAAACTTGACCCCTTTCCGCGTCAATCTAGTCAACGGCGAAGCTAGCCTGGAGAAATCCTTCACAAACGGACGGTAATACCCAGCTAATCCCAGAAAACTGCGGATCTCAAACACACTCTTAGGCTGTGCCCAATCTTGCACTGCCTCTACCTTGGATGTGTCAACAGACACCCCTTCTCTGGAAACCACGTGGCCTAAGAACTTGACCTCTCCTAGCCAGAACTCACACTTCCCAAACTTGGCATACAGCCTATGGGCTCTAAGCAACTCAAACACCACTCTCAAGTGTTCCTCGTGCTCCTCCTCAGAAGGCGAATAGATAAGAATGTCATCCACAAAAACGACTACAAACCGATCCAAGAATTCCCGGAAGATCCGGTTCATCAAGTCCATAAAGACTGCCGGTGCATTGGTAAGTTCAGGTCCCCAACAAATTCGTCCGGATTAGACCGGAAGAACTCCCTCTTCAAGAAAGAAGGTCTCGCCTCAGTAACTTGATTCTCAGCTCTGAGAATACCTAAAGCTCCCGCTATCTCTCGGGCCAAGGCAAACAAATCATCTATACGGGGCATAGGGTACTTATTCCTGACCGTAGCCCGATTTAACTTTCGGTAGTCTATACACAATCTCAAGGCACCATCTTTCTTTTTAGCAAAGAGGGCCGGTGCTCCCCACGGTGAAATGCTAGGGCGAACAAAACCCTTATCTAGCAATTCCTGCAGCTGAATCTTCAACTCACTCAACTCGGCTGGGGCAAAACGATAAGGTGCCATAGAAATCGGCGCTGTGCCGGGCACTAAATCAATAGAGAACTCTATCTCTCGGTGAGGTGGTAAACTAACGAGATCCTCGCGAAAAACATCTGAATACTCATAAACCACCCTTGGCAATAGAATCTGAGTCTCATCACACTCACTATTGATAAAGCTAGCAAGTAGACCACTAAGCTCTCCCCGCCCTCACGAATCATACACTGGTATACTCACAAACCACCCTCGGCAACACAATCTGGGTCTCATCACACTCACCACTCTCAAAGCTAGCAAGTAGACCACTAAGCTCACTTTGCCCTCGTGAATCGTACCCCGGTGGCAAAACGCTACCAACCCGGTCTCCTAAGAAATGGAACCACTCCCCCCTCAAGGTACATAACGTGACCCTCTGGCGGTAGCAATCGATAACAGCCTGGTATGACGATAGCCAGCCCATACCCAAAATAACATCAAAGCCCTTCATGGGCATGACAACAAACGGAAAAGGAAGCCTATGATCGGGGACCTCTATATCACAACCCCTAACACCTTGTTTCAAGATCAACTCACCACCCAAAGGCGATACCACACAAATGGGAGATGCTAACTGTGCCAACTCTAATTCTAAAACAGATGCAAATGCAGCAGATATAAAAGAATGAGATGCACCCGTGTCAATCAACACACTAGCAACCGAGTTGCAAAACAGAAAAGTACCTCTCACTACCGATGGAGCTGGTACTAAATCTTGCGCGGTAACAACATACACGCGCGCCGTAGGCCCCTGGTCTACCTGCTCACCTCTCGAAGCATACGACTGTTGCACTGACTGGGACGACGAAGCCCCCTGATTGGCCCTCGAGGCCTGCACACACTGAGCTGGCTGAAATCCCTGCGTCTGTCTAGAACCAGACACTCCCGAAGTGGCACTCAACTGCGGGCAAAACCTCTTCAGGTGCCCAGGCTGTCCACACTGATAACAAGACAAGGGCTGCCCCCTACCCAAACTCTGACTCTGCGGTCTAGCTGAAGAAGAAGCAGCTCTCTGACCCCCACCCTTCTGCGGGCAAACTGAAACCTTGTGACCCAGCTAGCCACACTTGTAACAAGCAAACTCCCCCTGATTGCCTCTCCCCGAGCCTGCACTCGGCACTGGAAAGGTCGATCTAGAAACTGCACCCTGAGACTGCAGAGGGTTATAATCCCTCTACCTCCTGCCATTACCCTGGCCATCTTGGGCCCTCTTGGAGCCCTTCTACTCTTCCTCCTCTTCCTGCATCATAATTTCCATATGAGCAGCGGCATCTACCAGGTGTCTATACTCTCGGATGTAAGACCCACCAACTCTCAACTTGAGGCCCCGCCTCAACTTCCGCTCAAACTCATAGTAACGGCGTTCCTCAGACGCCACCAGTTCAGGTGCAAACCTGGACAAACTGGTAAAAGTAGCCTCAAACTCGGCCACTGACAAGCCCTGTTGTTTAAGCCGGCTAAACTGATCCCTCAGCTTCTCCCTAGCTGCTGCAGACAAAAACCTCTCCTGAAAAGCATTCACAAACGCCTCCCATGTACCACCAACACGAGCCTTCTCGTACTTCCACCATTAACCCACATCTCCCTTCAGTTGGAAGGATGCCAAGGTCACTTTCAGTGCTCCTCCTCGATGCCAAGCATCTCGAACGTCTTACTCATTTGCTCTAGCCACTCATCAGCAACAAACTCGTCCGGATTGGACTGGAAGAATTCCCTCTTCAAGAAGGAAGGCCCTGCCTCAGCTGCGTGGGCCTCTGCCTGATTTCCTGCTCTGAGAATACCCAAAGCCCCTGCTATCTCTCGTGCCAAGGCACTCATAGCCTGTTGACCCGCTGGTTGGGCCACATTGGTTTGGCCAACTCCCTCCTGCACTGTCGGAATGTCATCCGGTAAGGGTACTTCCTGCCTCGCAGGCCTACCACGCCTAGCACCTCTTCCTCGTCCTGACATCCTAATAAAGGTAATACAGAACATTAGCACATTCACAATGTGCCAAAACTAAACACTCACGTCTTAATGCATGGACAACAGTAATTCACTCCACGTAAGCACATAAACACATAAGCACTTACGAATTTCATCTCCGGATAATGATAGTCCCGAGGCGTTACTAGAGTTCCGGTTAGAAACAGCATTGATCAAGTGCCTTTCCAACAAGACTCCCAGAAACCCAAGGATCCAATCAACATCCTAGAAACTACATTCCATACCCACATAGTCACATAAGCATGTTATCAATTAAGCACATAACCTATGACACTACATCTACGTCTCTATCAAGCGAGACAAACCCATTGTGATCCTAATCACTTCCCACGTACCCAAAGTATTCGAACCCGGTACGCTCTAATACCAAGTTGTAACACCCTCAAAAAAATAACATTAAACCCATCAATATAGACATACATTGATATATATAAAAGCTCTACATTCTTCTATTCAACAAAGTTTCATTACAAAAAGTATTACATGTTAACAACAAAAGCAAATGCCCTAAAGGCTTACAGCTTTCCAAGCTAACACTTGGTTACAACAAAAGAGTACTAACTCATTTACATATTAAGCCCTTGGCTTGAATATACATGTAATACATCAAAAGGGAAAGGACAACAAAAGTCTGCCCGCCTCTAGCCTCCCAAGCTACGTCCTTGGAGGTGGCATGCTACCTGTACCTGAAAATGATGTTCCCATATAGGGTGAGCCACAACCCAGCAGAGACATACTAAACCAACTATGAGCAATGACTAAAAGATTAGCAATTGATAGATGGCTAACACCGATACATTGCATATATCACGTCACAATTTCATAGCATACGAGTCTATGTCACTTTCCATTTTCCACCTTTATTTAATAGATAAACATACTAGCTATATCAACACATCAACAGATAAACATCTTACGCATCAATAGATAAGCATATAAGTTGTATCCACACTTCACTAGACAAGCATATGAGCTGTATCTACACTTCTCAAAGATAAGCAGCATCAAATTATAGGATAAGAAAAAATACATAATTTATATTTACCTGACTCCAGGTGTAAGCTTCTTCAACTGTGCACTCAGATTGCGAGGTTGGGTTGGAGAGAGCCATAATGAGAGGTTTCTGCATGCCATTCATTTAAAGTCTTGAGAGGAAATTTTGTAGAGAGAGAGAGAGAGAGAGAGTACCTCATTGAAGGAGGCCATGGCCTCGATCACCTCTTTTGTGAATGTTCTTTCCACTCCAGATGAACCAATTAGAACTGTTGGCTTGATAGCCTGATGACATTTGAAAATGAAAATAGAGTCCAACAATCACTTAGAACTATCTTCTTATAATAAAATATAGACACAAAGGGAATGCATCAAACCTTGACAGCTTCTAAAAGATCCTTAACAGGTTCATGTTCGGGAGCCCAAGGTTTCTTGAAGTGTAAAAGGGAATTCTTACAGGAACTAACAATTAATCCCTGCAACAGAAATCACATGCTATGATTAATGCAAGACACAAGTGCCGAAAAAGGTCAAAATGGAAACAAAATAAAAATATGAAGAGTCATGATCGACTAAATATCCATCATTTAGCAAGGAACCTTCACTAGACTTTTCACTACCTTTGAGTCCACAAGCCAGATCTTCTTATGCATCTCTTCCAAAGGAGCTTTGGTCTATAACAGATGAATAAAACAAGAGAATCACCAAGCAACTATGAGAATATATATTGTATATATGGCATGATTGTGTAAAAATAGAATTCTTTGTATTTCTTTTTTCTTTGTATTTCCTTTTTTAGTCCTAGGTTTAGGCTATATCAATCGATGACCTCTTTGTAAACAATACACAATTGAATATATGAATTCTTTTAGAATACTTACATAGTATCAGAGCCGTGTTTGTAACCCTAGCGCCGTCATCTTCCTCAGTTATCTCTAATCAGTTTCTGTGCTTGCAAACCCTAGCACCGTCATCTGCCTCAGCCGTCAGTCTGTGTGCTCGCGAGCCCTAGCCGTTAGTCTGTGTGTTCGTGAGCCCTAGTACGGTCGTCTCCCTTAGCCCTTTCTGCTGAGGGTGTCTGAAAATGCTCCCATACTTCTGGCAAGCCTCTCCAACAGTTGGAGTGTAGACAATCGGGAGAAGTTCCTCAACATTGTCAATGAGAATCTTGTAGAACAGCCTCTCATTTCTCTCCTGTAAACCAAAACAATTAAAAATACATAAACTAAAGAATTATACATTTACCATTTTGTTTTCATCCGTTTTGAACTCTTTTAAAGGCTACAATAAATGAAGTAATCTGTCATGCTTTTCTTGTCTCTAGTATCTCAAGTACACTGGCATTAGAATGAAGAATGAAGGGGTAAATGCTAATAATCCCAGATTCCATATTGTTATGTGAGTTGAAAATGAATTATTTATAACCAAGCAGCATCTACGTACGCCACATATGCACCGACTTCAAATCAACAAGTTGCAATTGTTGTTGTGAGTTAAAGAGGCACCTGAAGGTCCATCATGGCCATGTACTTCTGAAGTGGAACTTGATGTTGGTGAATATTGTGCATCATTTTCTTCACCTGATATAGAGCCCCAAAAGAAAAAGTTCAACAGGAATCATATTAACTAGTGATAAGATAAAAAATACATATGGTACTTGAAGTTGTTGAGTTATAACCACGAGTGGTAAGAAACCAAGCAAGTAATGAGCATCTCTCTCTTTCTCTGTGAACACAAGCCCCTTGTTATAATGTGGGTCCCGCAACAAAGAATACCCACTGGAGAACATGATAAAGAGGTAAAAAATGAAGATAAATTAGCATCAGAAGACAATTACAATGGTCAACAATGGCAGGCACTCTAGACATACACATATACATACACACACTACTATATAGTTATATGCATCTTTAGAGTCAACTAATTAGAAAATTACCCACCATAATTTTATGAGAAAATTAGATGAACAATACAGAATAAGAAACAGGAAGTTAAAACATACTACATTGGCGGAAATTGCATATAACCAGAAAATGAATTGAAGAAGGGGCAGCAGAAACATTTCATAACTTAAAATGGGTACAGGTATAACACAACGCACGCACAGATAGAGAACTTGAGGAATCTTAGGCTATGTTTGGTTTTGATGAAAATGGTAGAAAGTGAGGAAAATGGAAAAAAATAAAAATAAAAATAAAAAATTGTCTGAGTTTGTTTAACATGAAATTTTCTTGTACAAGAATGGTAATTAATTCCTATTTTCTTGCAAAATTTTCATCCATATCAAATTTACACAAGAAAATATTTTTTTTACCCTTTCTTTTCTTTTCACTTCTCATTTTACCCTTTTTACTTTCCATAATTTATTAATTTATTTATTTCTAATCAAACAGAGCCTTTGGAGAAAAACCAAAATTGTCCAACAAACGTCTCAACAACATCAAAATCAGATAACAGCAATGTGACATTGCAAGTTAGACAATTTGCACGTCATCAAGAAGTTCAAATCCGTCAAAAACAAAAACAAAAACAAAAACAAAACGCTAGAATCAGAACAAACAACACCAATCACGATCGAAATTCAAACGATGATGAGTAAGATGGGTGAATTATGAAGAGAACCTGGCAACAGAGATTGTCCAAGGTGTGACGGACTGGTCCTCAGTCGCAAGATCCTCACCGTAGACATCTTCAACGCCGCCGCCGACGGTGGACTTGGAATCAATGTCCAGCACCGGTGCACCGCCCCTCTCGTCCTTCGACGTAATCTTCGCAAACCTCGACTTTCTCTCACAACACCAAATCTCTTCTTTATTATATGCGATCGATATATACTCAACTAATGCTTGTTTTCCTGCCAACACAAATAGATTATCAATAGTAATAATAATAATTCAATTGATTAGTGTTTTTCTTGGTGTCAACATGAAAAAAACACAATCAAAAGATACTCACAAAACAGGATAGTCCACTTTGATTCTGTCTGGATACATTAGGTCTACAAAAGCCTAATAAGAAAATGCTAGAAATCATACACAGATGCACTACTATATATGTGTATAGATAGAGAGAGAGAAATTTTTATTTTTATCTTTTCAATTTTTGGTCGGTGAGAGAGAGAATGTTCATTACCAGGAAAGTGCCCCTATTTAGAGAGACCATCGCGGAGAAAAATCTAGAAAATTTGGAGAGAGAAAGAAACAGAGAGATATAATTGATTTGTCGTCGTTAGGCGGTGGAGAGAGAGTGAGAAAATCGAGAGTTGAAGTGGCACTTGCTGGCTCTGCTCTCTCTCTCTCTCTCTCACTGTGTGTTGTATGCATTGTCTGTATGTAACTCTCTATTTATGTAGAAATTGGGAGTCGCGGGAATAAATGTCGTAAGCGTTTCTATTTCTACATCTATATCTATATCTATATCTATCTATATATATTAATGAAAAAAGAGTTTTTAATCCGTTAAGTCTTGTAAGAGCTCCAATAAGTTAATCTTAATTTTTAAAATTTTTTATTTAAAAAAAAAAATCTCAGCATTCATTGATTTGGTCAAAATCTCTTAATCAGCATTTATTAATTTTTTTCAATCCACATGTCTTTTCACATGCCTACATTTATTGATTTGGTCAAAATTTACTGATCAACATGTCTTGTGGGAGCTCCAATATACCAATCTTAATTTTTAAAATTTTTTATTTTTTAAAAAAAATCTCTGCATTCTTTGATTTGGTCAAAATCTCTTAATCAGCATTTATTAAAATTTTTCAATTCACATGTCTTTTCACATGCCTGCATTTATTGATTTGATCAAAATTTCCTGATCAGCATTTAAAATCCCCTCATACAAATAATCATAGATACAACCCGTGCATTGTTATTGCAGTACCCTTTTTAATTTCTCTCATACACTATAGTTAATGATAAGATTGTTAAATTATTTTTATAAAAAATCTTAAAAAACAGAATTTCCAAGCCATGTTTCAAGCCATTTTTGATGAGTTTTAGGACCTGCATAGGCTCTGTCCAGAGCTTGTTTTGCCATATTGGATGTCCATCTTGCATGTGTAGAATAACCCTCTTCATAGCATATCAAAGGAGCATCTCATTCTTGCATGCATTAACCATGTTTCTGTGGGTTTTGGGGCTTTATTTGGCATGTCATACCTCTGACTTTTTTTGGTTTAGTGGCCTCTTGATTGCCTCACAGGCTTATAGTGCAAATCCTCTTTACTAGCTTACATTGCATGCTATTTTGGCCTTTGATTCTAGCACTTTTTGGCCATGCCTTAAATTGATTTTGTGCATGTTTTGAACTACCTTAGCTCTGTTTTTGGGCCTCATGGTTGAATGATGTTTGCTATGCATGGTTGTAGTTCAATACCCTTGCCTAGCTATGAGTTTTGAAGCCTATTGCATGCGTATTTTGAGGTGTTTCCATGTTTTGGCATCATTGTGAATCATATTTCAGAGCTTATATGTATGCCATATTCCCATGTTTTCCACTCTTTAAATGTGTTTGAGAGTTATGCATGAATACCTCATTTTTGGACCGTTGCATGAGCTTCATTTCCATGCTTTGCGAGCCATCATTTTAGATCATTTTTCCACTATCTTGGAACTGCATAGGGACTATTTAGGGCTGGTTGGGTCATTTGAGCACTGCTTTGTGTACCTCTAGTGTAATGCACTTCACTAGTTTCGGTATCCGGGCCATCTAGCATGCATTGTGTGAGGTGTTTACATGATTCGGGACCATCTTGCATGTCATTTCAGAGCTAGAAAATGTATGATTGTATGCCATATTTCATCCCTTACCATGCTTTGGTAGAGTGGCATTTGATGCCTTAGGTTCGATCCCTTGCATTGGGCATGTTTGCATGAGCGTTCTTGTCTAATTTCAATTGTGTATGGCCACTGATTTTGGCATGCTTGCGAGCTATCCATGTTAGTTTAAGTCCATCATCGCATGTTGTTGTATGCCATGTTTGTTTACATGTTTAGGTTGCGTGCCTAGTATACATTGCTCATTTGCATGTTCATGTTGCATACTTAACCTCCATGCCTAGGTTGCATTTCAC